TCCCTGTTGCACATTTTTGTAGGTTACTCTCACTACAGTGAGGAGAATGGGAGAGAGTAGAAGCAAGATGATCAGGTAAGAAGTTCTTGTAATAATCCAGGCAAGTAATGAGTCTGATTTAGTGCAGGATACTCATAATGGGATGGAGACAAGTAGATGGATTTAGGATGTGCTGTGGAGGTAGTTAAGACTTGATGGAGTAGTATTACATATTTCTGCTGTTATTTGGTTTCAAGAAAGAATAGACACGTTGGCCTAGTGTCACAGGAGGACTCAGAAGTATTTAAAAAAGGAAAGAGAACATTTACTTGGAAAGAATGCAAGAGATTTAGAAGGTGACTTGTCAAAAACAAAACAAAATAAAAAACACAAGTATTTAACAGAACAAAATCCTGCAAAAATACCAAGATTATCAAGCTTAAATTGACCTGTTTGTCATTGGAAAACGACAACTCTCACATGTTACCATATTCACAAAGGTCAGATATTTTCAGGTACCAGCATAGGAAAAATCCGGGATAAGATTGTTTTTGTTAGGAAGTCCAGTTCTTAGGGTAAATTTCAAAGTTTTCTACTTTGGAGACCAGTACCAGATAGGATTATCATATTAACTTTCATTTTAATCTCAAGTTGCAAAGTGGTAAGTGAAGTGCTTAATCATATTGGGAGCCCTGCTGGAGCTGGGAGAGAGAACTATTATCACAGTTCAGATTGTCCTCAGCTGTCATCATGGTGCAGAGCTTGGCATGGGACAACGTGAGAGTGGGTCTGGGACACTGGCTGCTTTCCCTCCTGATGTGTGATATTTTGATAGCTCTGCCTACCTGCCTCTTGTGTTATTCCTAGGTGAGATAGAGAACCAGTATTTCTAGGCAAAGAGCTGGTATAGCTAGCCAGTCTCAAATTTTCTTGTCTTGCTCTTTCCACTTAATGGTACCATCCTTACACTTCTTAGGAACTGGTGGATCAACTCTATGCATTTCGAGACTGCTATTTTGAGACACACAGCGTTGAGGATGCTGGGAGGAAGCAACAGGACGTGCGGGAGGAGATGGAGAAGACCCTGCAGCAGATGGAGGAAGTAGTGGGTATGAGTCCCCAAAGAGCACACAGCCCCCTGCCCTTCACTGAAATGTGACAGAGGTTTGCTCTCTTTGTAGACTCTTGGGTGTCCTGTTTGTTGCTGCTACAGCATAGTACAACAGAATATTTCTTCTAAGGGCCCCCTGTGCAGCGTGGCAACCTGTTAGTCCTCTAAACTCATTTTCCTAAAGTTTGATTATAGCAAATGCCATGAAATAAAAGAGGATACTTGTTGCTTGAACTATTGCAGTGATCTTATTAACTGATCTTTCTGCCTCTAATTCCTTTTATTTCCAGATCAATTTATTTAATGACCATCGCCATTACCTTTCTAAGTCATGACTTCATGCATTTAGTCTTATCCTTTTGTCTGTCTCTTTGCTCAAATATCTTAAAAGATGCCTGCTCTTGAGTGGTTGAAGTTTAAACCCCTTAACCTGTTAGTCAAGTCTCCATTTTCTGATATATTTTTTTTCCTACACTTTGACTACTTACTTCCAGAAGTTGTTTTTGTTTCATTCATGTTGGACCATACTTTCTCCCATGAACATGCCACATATATTTCTGCCTCTGTCTTTGATTACATCATTTTCCTACCTGGAGGGTCGTGTCTTTTTTCTTTCCACTTTTTAAAGCCCATTCATTGCCTATCTGCATGTGTTCCTTTTCATTGTTTTAATTGTTGCTATATATACTTTGTCCTCTCCACTAGATTGTAAGCCCCTCAAAGGTAGTGATAATGCTTTCTTTGTTACCCCATTACGTAACAGCACTCTGTATATTGTAGTTTTTCAATAAGAGGTTTGTTCATAAAGATTTTCCTCAACTATTTCATTTCTAGAGCTGGCATGGGGTTATTCCTTGAGAGAAAGTGTCCTGGTCTTATCTGTAAGACTGCCTGGGTTTTTCCATTTTCCTTTATTTTTTCTCCTTCCTCCTAGGTTCTGTCCAGGGCAAGGCACAGGCTCTGATGCTAACGGGGAAGGCACTGAATGTGACTCCTGACTATAGCCCTAAGGCTGAGGAGCTCCTGTCAAAGGCTGTGAAGCTGGAACCCACGCTGGTGGAAGCCTGGAACCAGCTGGGTGAGGTGTACTGGAAGAAAGGGGATATTGCAGCTGCCCACACCTGCTTCTCAGGAGCCCTCACCCATGTGAGCAGCCCACTGTCCCCTCAGAAAACATAGNATTTGGGGGTAGTATTGATTGACCATGTACATGTGATATTGTTTTCACCATTTCAGATATGGAGGAAACCAGTGAATGAGTTAATAAGGTAGCCAGAAATGAATTTTTCTTTACTTCATTTATTTCTTTTCTTATTTAATCATTCAACATACATTTTTTGAGTACCAAAACATTTATATTTCATGCACCTTCTTAGGTGCTGGGTATCTAATAATGAACAAAACATATGAGCTTCCAGGAGGCTACACTTTAGTGGTGATAAAGATTAAAAAAAAATCCAGACATTTACAATGTATTTTTAATGCCTACAATGATAAACAAAGTACAGACTGCTGTGAGACCACATAGTAGGGACAGGTATCCCAGACTTGGTGGAGTTACATAAAATTATATAGAATAGGCAAATTAAAAATGGTTTTAAAAAAAGGAGAGTACTCATATTTCACTTTTTGTCAATATTTAAAGGACAGTGAATCGAAAGATAAGCCAAAATTGGTTTCTGTATGTAGTAAGTTGTCTTCGGCTGTGTAATAAGCGTAGTGGATTAAGTAACAAACTTAATGGCTTAAAACAACACATATTTATTATCTTAGTTTCTGTGATCGGGAGTCCAGGCATAGACTCTGCCCAAAGTTTCACAAGGCTACAATCAAAGTGTTGATAGGGGCTGCAGTCTCTGAGCCTTGAATGAGGAAGGATCTGCTTCCAAGTTCATGTGGTTGTTGGCAACATTTACTTCTAGTGAACTATGAGACTGAAGGCCTCAGTTGTTTTTTTAATGGACTTTATTTTTTTAAGCAGTTTTAGGCTCATAGCAAAATTGAGAAGGCGCAGAGATTTCCCATCTATCTATCTATCTATCTATCTATCTATCTATCTATCTATCTATCTATCTATCTATCTATATACTCTGCCTCCTGCACATGCATAGTCTTCCCCATTATCAACATACCCCACCAGAGTGGGGCATTTGTTGCAAATGATGGCCCTCCATTGACGTATCACTATCACCCAAAGTCCATAGTTTACATTAGGGTTCTCTCTTTGCGTTATGCATTCTATGAGTTTGGACAAATGTATAATGACATGTTTCTACCATGAGAATATTATACAGAGTAGTTTTACTGCCCTAAAAATCATTTGTGCACCACCTATTCATTCCTCCTTCCCCTCAACCCTTGGCAGCCACTGATTTTTTTCACCATCTCCATAGTTTTACTTTTTCCAGACTGTCATGTAATTCAAATCATACAGGTTGTAGCCTTTTCATATTGGCTTGTTTCACTTAGTAATATGTATTTAAGTTTCCTCCATATTTTTTCATGGTGTGATTGTTCATTTCTTTTTAGTGTTGAATAATATTACATTGTACTGCTGTTTATTTATCTATTCACCTGCTTAAGGACATCTTGGTTGCTTCTAAGTTTTGGTAATTATGAATAAAGCTACTGTAAACATCTTTGTGCAGGATGTAAGTTTCCAACTCCTCTGGGTAAACACGATTGCTGGGTTGTATGGTAAGAATATGTTCAGTTTTGTAAGAAACTGCCAAACTGTCTTCCAAAGTGGCTGTAACACTTTGCGTTCCTACCAGCAATGATTGAGAGTTCCTTTAGCTCCACATCCTTGCCAGCATTTGGTGTTGTCAGTGTTCTGGATTTTGGCCATTCTGATAGGTGTGTAGTGGCATTTCATTGTTGTTTGCATTTCCTTGATGACATTTGATGTGTAGTATCTTTCCATCTCCTTATTTGTCATTTGTGCATCTTAATTGGGTTGTTTGTATTCTTACTGTTGAGTTTTAAGAGTTCTTGGTGTATTTTGGATAATAG